TTATATTTAGTTCCTTTTCCACACTCGAGTTTTGTTTTTCCCTAAGCCCAGCCGTAGGCAGGGGAAGTTCCTCCGCCGGCAGCGGGGGCTGTGCTGTGCCGCTCGGCTGAGCGGGTAGGGGGCACCAGGAGCCCCCCGGGCATCGGGGGGAGTAAAAACCACCCCCGTCACTAAGTTTGCTAACGAGGTAAGCAAACCGCAGCCTGAAAGCGCAGCAACAAAACTGCTGGGTACTGAGCAGATCCCACGGCAGCCGGGGGCAGCTCGTTAATATCCGGCTACGGTTCACCAATTTTACTAGGTCTCTTCACCAGCTCCTCACCGCCTTGATGCAGATAAAGCCACTACCAAGTTAAATACTAAAAGGGAGAGTAGCTGCCCAGCGAGCGGGGGGTGTGCGGGCGGCGGGGAGGAGGATCGAGCAGTCGGGCTGCGGGACGGGGACGCGAGAGGGAAGCAGCTCCTGCGGAAACCCCGCTGGGCCTCGGGGAGGGAACCCGCGGAGCCCCCGCAGGCCGGCAGGGGCAGCGGATGCGGAGGGGTCCCGGGAGCGAGGGACCAAGGGCTGGAGGAGGCGGCGATCAGGAGGGTGGCAGGGGAGGTCTGAAGTTGCGGTGGAGACCCCAGTCACACGGAGCGAATGTGAAGAAGAGAGATGGATTAAAGGCTATACAGAGAAGCGTTGTCAGCAAAAACTGTAGTTATTTTCTCGCTTGCTTGAGGCGAAAGCAGGACGGGTGCTGGAGCTGCTGCACCTCTGAAATTCACGTTGCTTGGAGCGGTTCCAGCATACCTGAAAGGAAAAAAAGGCAAGCTCATAAGAACACCTAGAATTAAAAGGTCCAAAGCACTTTGGCACAGCAGGGTCATACAGTCTTCAAGCTCATGAGACGGCGACCCGAACTGCAGCTTGTTGCACCGTGCCGCCTCTGGTGCCCAGCTGTGCTGGGGGTGATGCCTCCAACGGAGGGTTGGCTCTGCCCTGCCCAGAGCTCTTTCAGCCCTGCAGCAGCGAGGACAGATGCCAGGCCCTCCACCTGGCTCAGCCTTTGCCCCGGAAAGTCACCATGACCGAGAGAGGAGCCCTGTCTGAAATAAATCAATTCGTTGCCTTATTTAGCAAATAAAATGTTTTGCCATTACCATATGTTCTTCATTGCAAGCAAGCAACCCGTTACTTTCTTACCGCGATGGGTAGGTATTTAGACACCTTTTTGTTGTAGCAGCACTGTAAAGCTACTGAATCATTTGTTGCCTGCCCTTACATGGTGAAAAGGAACTGAGCCAGGAAAGCCTAATGTTCTTCTGGGTGCTAATTTCAACTCTTAATCAAGATCTGATTACCAAAAAGGAAGACAGAGCATAAAAACGCTATAAAGATTTAAGATTTTTTCCTATCTCGCCCTAATTCATGCCGCAAATGTGTCCATTATAGCATTCACTTTAGCAGGAAAATTGTGATGTTGTTGCAAGATTCCCTACAGCAGAGCTCCTGCCAATTATGATGAATAATCTCAGTCTATATGCTACCTCTATGCAGTTCTATAGTACCAGCGTGCTCTCATTCTCTTTCTGCTTCCTCAGGAATGTAGAGTATCTTAAGAACAGTAAAAGCAAATTAAAAATAGTTAATAGGTTAATCAGATTCAGTCTCATATTTATCTAATGCAGATCACTGATTCTTTAGTGATGTAGTTTTGAGGCATTGCCATGAGCCAAGAAAATGAATCAGACATTTAATGGAGATGTGGAAACGGAAATTTCTTGTAAGGCTACAAAATCTCAAGCCAATAATACACTATAATATAATAAAGCTGTCATTAAAATTCTACGCATGAAATGCCATCCTCTGTGTCCTTTCTTGCTAGGTGATAAACTGAGGCAAAGCTGGCCAGAAAATTTTTCAGGAGTCAGGCCTTTGGATGCATCTCACTTGTTTTTTAGCATTTTTGTCCCGGAGTGTCTGCCTTCTGCTGACAGCCAAAGGCAGAGGCATCACTTTGCAGGTGACAACACTTCAGACCCCTGGTTTTCTCTTGAGTGCCAAGGGACATGAAACGCTTCCAGCTCTAGCTGGGGGATGTACTGGGGACGTGAACCCAGGTCTGCTATTGCTTTGCGTTACTTACTTGGTCTGACCCGCGCAGGAATGGTTTCTGTGTGTAACAGCTTCCCTTTTCCAGCCAAAGTCGAATACTGTGAGCTCTGCCTTCCCAGGGCTTACAGTCACTTCTGAGGACACACTCATGTCACTTTGTTGCTCTAACGCTGTGATCCGTCCCCACATCCTGGACGAATTTCAGTTTCCATTTACACTGAAGTGTGAGCAGAGTAACTGCGAACGCAGTGAGAGACTGTAAGGACACGGCGTAGAAACAGGACTTGGGCACTGTCTTACATTTTTTAAACAGCAGCAAGGACAAGGAGGGCGTTGCAGGCTGCTGCTTACAGTTACTTCTGTTGCTACCTCAGTATTTCTTTTGCCTTTTCTAAATGCGGTGTCCAAGTATCTTCCGTATCCTCAGTAAGGTTAAATATTTTTTCTCCTTTCTGGAGCATTGAATATATTTGATGCCGGAGCGGAGTAGCTACTTTTGATTTGTGATCGTTGGTCCAGCCTGACCCCTGCTGGGGGAAAGCCAGGAGGAGAGGATTACAAGTGTAGAATGTCTGTCTGAGAGACGGGTTCCCCGGAGACCGTTCCAGCCGCAATCCTGCTCCAAACCCCTCTCCCAGCCCTAGACACATGTTCTGCCCTCACTGCACAGTCCCCTCTTGCCAGTACAAGCCTTACCTGAAGTTTTTCCACCTTACATCTCCAAAGACTGCCCACCACCTCCATTGTTAGGATGCAGTGTAGAAGTAACATTTACCTCTTTAGTGTGGCTGCAGGTGCACCCAGCGCTCTGCTGGCGTCCTGCCTCCCTGCTACCAGTAGCTGGGTGCCATTACTGATTACTAGGTCTCTGTTTATCCTAACTAGTCCATGCACAACAGATTTCTCAACGTAGACATTTGTCTATTCCTGTGTGGTGCTAGCAAGAGCTGCAGCCAGCACAGAGGTGCCCGTGATGCCATGTGGCATTCAGACAAGGTATTTTGCTCTGGCCACATGCTTGGGAAGGACTGCAGTCCTTGCAGGAGGGATGGATGGCCCTTCTTCCCAATGGAAGTGAGAACAGCAGTGCCAGCAACTGCTGCTGCCTGTGCCCACCTCAGCATGCAGCATGATTGCTTTTGAGCAGCCTGCTCCATTTCCAGGTGGTCTTGGGACACCCTGTGAGGACTGGGTGTGTGTGGCTGATCAGACACAGACAAGGAAACTATTTTTAAAAACTGCTGTTAACAGTCGTGCTGAAATATACGTGTCCTAGGCCAGGTGTGTAAAAGCTGAGAGCAGGAGCACTTCTGCTCCATCTCCCTTGTTTATCTTTGCTGTGAAGGTGCCATCCTTCCAAAGTTACTTTCCTTTTTTCTTTCCATTGTGTGTTGCTGAGCAGAGATTTCCCACTCTGTGCTGTACGTGCACATGAGGTACAGATACCAATACCAATACGGATACAGTTACCAATTTAGACCCAACAGAAGTTCACCCCTCACCCCCTGGCCCTGGTGGGCCAGTCAAGCCATCCAAGCACATGCAGGGGAATTTATTTCCCCATGGCTGCAGTTTTCGGGTATGGGCCCAGGCACCACCCCTGGCGTTCCTGAGAGCATTTTCTTGACATGGATAACCAGGTGTGCTGTAAGGCTAAAACTCATGTCTGGCTTTACTTGGGTTTCGCGTGGACAGCAAAAATGTATGGCGTTTAACTGGCACAGCTGGAGCTTTTTATCGCTTCTTTCCCTCTGTGGGACAAGTGTCTGCACGGCAGGGCACGGAGCTTTGCTTAGAGCTTGTTGGCACAGAGTGGCTCAGTGTCAGGGAGCAGGAAATCGTTAAATTGATTATCTAAATGGGGGTGGGAGGGAGAAAGCAGCGGCAGCAGCTGTCGTCGTGTGCGTGTTTTTATGACTTTGAGAAGACGACGTTTCAGCACTTCCCGTCGCACTGACTGACCGGGCTGCGCCGGTAGCAGCTTCGGGCTCGGTGGCGGCAGGACCGAGCGCGGTGCGTTTCGTAACGCAGACCTGGGGGTCGGGGGGTCCCGGGGGGTCCGCCCCCCCCACCCCCCCCCGCACCCGGCGGGTCCCCCGGCGCCCCCTAGCGAGCAGCGCGCGCCTGGTGGCCCCGGCCCCCGCACCGCGTCCCCGGGGCGGGGCCGCCCGGTCCCGGTGTCAACGCGGGTATAAATGCTCAGGCATTGCCTGGAACTAAAAGACAGAGAGGCTTAGAAAATATGACCTTACACTGGAAAAAAACCCAACTTAGACACGGATTCGATCGTTGCGAAGAGAAAGAATTATCTGCTCCTTGTATCTACAGTGAACAGAACAAGAAGTAATGAGGCTAAGCTAGACCAAAGGAGATTTAGGATAGATGTTAGGGAAGACTCTCTTATGGTGGTGATAATTAACCACTGAACCAGCTTACCTTGAGAGAACATGTGGTCCCCATGGTTAGAGCTTGAAAGGGACAGATTGAAAAAGCATCTATGAGGATTGGACTGGGTTTCCCTGTTCCTAGCTTGCTGCAGGGCAATGGACTGCACACCTTCCTGCAATCCTGTCTGTGTCTTCAGCAGCTTTCAGCGTTTCTCTTGCAGCATGCTAAAAACACTACCTCAACTGGTCTACAGGGATTGTATCTCAATTATGAACTTATCCTGAACTGCCACTCCAAAGCTCTTTGCTTGTGAATCACCAGAACAGACTCAGATCACACTGAGCTTCCCTTGCTCCAAGCCCCTTGCCTCACTTCTCTGAACCCAGGTGAGCTCAGCAAGGGCTTGCTGTCTTGGCCATGCTGGTCCTGGCCTGGCACAAACCAGTGACAAGAGCACAAGCAGCTGGTTGGTCTCCGTGCACAGGCAAATATTGCAGGGAGTCAGTATATGCTGCCTGGGCCAGTCATTCTGCCCCAGCAGAGCCTGTGCTCTCCTTCCCATCACCCTAAAATCTTAACACAGCATGTCCCACCCAGTGGCTGGCTGCTTGCTTTGTAACTTTATTAAAATAAGGGAAGATACAAACATTTGTACAGAGCCTGATGCTTCTGCCTGCTCTGTGCCAGCAGAGGCTGCTGTGCTGTTACAGAAGGGGCAAGAGCATTTATTCCAGGATGGGCCCAGGGCTGTGGGCTGCACCGTTGCTTTGGGTGTGTGCCACTGCTTTCCTTGGGATTTGCTGGGGCAGAGCAGCCTGGCAGCAGGAAGGAGTTACTTCCCTCCCTCCATTCAACATGCAAACATCCAGCCTTGCAAACTCCAGGTCACCTTAAAGGCCCCAACAGTGGTGTGGGGTTTTGTTACAGGGACTTGGAGAGCTGAGTGACACCTTCAGAGGCCTCAGGGAGTGAGGTGGCTCAACCTCACTCTCCAGGGTAGAGGGCAAAGTGCTTCACATGATAGAGGCAGCAGGTCTGCAGCCACTGCGGCCCAGCCGTGCAGGCCATAGGGAAGCACAAGACAGCTGGACCTGTTCTCCAGAGGTGTCACAGGG